TTGTCCCACACATGAAGTCATGAATTGGGCGAGAAATATCGGGATTGATTAAATCTTTTCACGAAAAAACTAATACGCGCTAGCAAGTGGTTAACTTGTGCAATGCACTGCCTTTCCAAGCGTACCGAGCACGGGTTTCAGGAGAATCTTTCAAATGGAAACCCTCACGGGCAACATATGCCTGCTTATTAGTCTGCCAAGAGAAACTGGAAAGTGCATCAACAGTGAAAAGCAATAGAATGACAGCTAACTTGGTCATTTAAAACGTTACAATATGGACAAGTGTTAAAAAAATCTTCAAACTGATAAGATAATTGTATTGACAAAATTGAAAATATGCACTGATGTTACTTAAGTGGTTTCAGATATGTTGAAAAGCCAGTTTCACACTGTACTATATTCTGCTCCTTTGCCTGGGTTCTACCAGGTTTCACGGGTTATCTTAGTGAGTAAAAACCTACAAACGGTGCTAATACAGATCATCTCTTAGTTTCAGCTGATTTGAAGAAGGCCATTAAGATTCCAGGGTGGAATGAAAAGCAGAAGACATGTTTCCCCTCCAGGACAAGGAGTGCATTTCAGCACTGTAGGGGTCTGGTTTTTAGTGTGCCTGAACTACATGCAGTACAGTTAATGCTCCATGTGACCACTTTATTCTAGGTTGGTGATCTGTTGGTAGTCAGGGAAATGCATATATTACTCAGGAAGACTTTTTAACTGCAAAAGTGATATTCTGGCATTCGAGAAGTGGCTGGATACGATTTTCAGATTACTTCACTGCAAACAATCAGGTCTGCACAGTGGATCTTTTGCTTGTAAGCTTTCCTGCGATACAGCTGCCAGAGCCAACCAGTTCATAATGCCTGTGAAGTCTGGCTTTCTGGAATGGTTTTACACCTTGGGACCTTAAACTATTTAGGAGGTGGGAGGTGCTGAAAGCCTGCAGTTCCCTTATCCTGTAAAACCTGGAGGCTCCTGGATTGCCAGTTAGATAATTGTTCTGCTGCTTGTACTTGTAATGATCTAATGAAACAAACTGGATCAATAGAACACTTTTCACAGGTCTGCAGCTGTTGATAACTGCTTGATTCAGGTCCTTGATGATGATGATGACGATGATAATAATTGCTTACACTTATATCTGTTTCTTACTTACAGTCATTCAATGGGGTCAAATGGACTGCGTATTCATATTCAGTGTTGTTTGCGACTCAGGACGGTGCAATGCTCGGTAAGATGTTGGAGACTCATGATTGTAAATGTTTAGACAGAAGCCTGTATTCCAAGGATGTCCAACACCTGGTCCTGGATGGTCACTATGCTTAGGTTTTCTGGATCTCTTTAAAGAAGCAGCACCTACAGTATAAAGCTGAAAGAAGCTGTTAAATTGGGCGGCCTTACTAAGAAACTAGCTGATTGAGCACTTTAAGACCTGAGCTGGAGTGAACACCAGCAGATCCTGAACCTCCGGGATCAGGATAGAACAGACCTGCAACAGTCACTGGGCTGGTGAAGCTGCAGTCAATTCTACACGTAGAAGTGGCCCAGATCCTCAAGGGTTAACTGGAAGGGATACTTACAGTAGCACAGAAACCATACATCATGGGGGCGAAGCATTTCATTAATTTCTTCATGAGCTAAATATTCAAGGTGGAAAAGGTCAAAAACACAAACCACTTTAAGGTGATTTGATGATGCCTTCGTTATTTCTAACATCTGTAATGTTTTTTGTTTACATACCACAGGGTTGTCGATTTGTGGCAGAGCAGGAGAAGGCCAGTGCAGCTATAGGTTTTAATTCCAGCATCTCTCACCTATGTACAGCCCCTGATTATTGACTTAAGTGGACTAATGCCAAGGCGTCTCCCAGTCCAACAGGTCACGCCTAAGTGTGTTAGAGAGTCAGCGGCCACACAGACCCTCCAGGAGCTGCACTGGTCTAACAGAAGAGATGAATGCCCCAGGTCTGACCGCTTTTCTGTATATCTTAAAAAGATACAAACTGGAATCCAGTTGTAAAAACTTTAAGATCTGGGCTGGCAATGCATCGACATTAGCAAAGGACACAGAAGATGAAGACAACATACTCAAAGCATATAAATAAGGTGATGAATGTGCAGAGCACATTAGAAAAATACTTTAATCCAAAATTAGTATGATACATTTTCTAAACTCATAATTTTATGGCATGTCGAGTTTGAAAATCTGTGTATATATGCTGCATGGTTCCCATAACTAACATTTTCTGTTTTTATCCCTAGTTGTGGCCACCCATCTGGATACGAGATGGAAAAGGGCTGTTAGTAGGCCACGCCGTCATGTTTTCACCCAGGCGTGTGACTGACTCAGTCTCTTATTCCTGGACTGCTGGGGGCTCATCTTGGACGACAGCAGTCAACAGAGACAGACCTGGGACGAAGATGGCACAGACCCAAGTGTAGGGTGGGGGGTCTAGATTAAGCCAGACAAAAACAAAACCCTTCAGGACTCACTTTTATTCCAGCGGTTTGATAGGCAGGTTTCTGACTTCCTTCTTTAAGCTGCAGGTGCCAAAGTCCAAATCATCTCATGACATCTAAGTTCAGCTATGAGCAAATTGACTTGCGAGGACAGAGAGCAGCTAAGAACATTGCAACGACGTCAGAAACGTACACCACACTAACACCCGATCAGGAACAAAGATACAAGGAGTAAATAAAAAATCAAACAAACATAAACAACATTCAGGATTTTCACAGTAGTAGACAGTTACGTTTTTCAAACAAAAAAAAAAAGACAAATGTGGATTTTTCTCTTCGCAACCCTTTCCCAGGGGTCCCTCTGTGTGGTGTCTAGACGTCGTAGAAGAGGCGCACCAGGTGGTAGCGGATCCCGAAGGCCACGGCGCTCCCCAACACCTGCACGGGTCAGAGGTCATCCAGAGGTCAGGGGTCAGAATGACCAATTGGGGGAATCACGCTTCCTCATTAAGACTGGGCTAACACACTTTAGAGGCGAATATGGGGGCAATTAGTATTTAAACCGGGGTGATGAACTCGGATCGTTAGGGGCTGCAGGTTTTAATTGGAATCTCTTAATCAGCAACTGGTTAAAGCTGGGAGCAACAGTTATTGTGAAAAATTAAGCACTCAAATCAAGTAATATATATGTGGATTCTAATTTAAACAGTGAGGAGGCCTAAAAACAGGTGTTACAGATGATAAGATTTAGCTGTTTTACTTTTAACTTCACCGTTAGGTAGCCCTGGGAAAAACATACCATCTGAGGCAGCTGCTTACTTATTTAAATCCACAGTTTTTTCCTATCATCACCTTAATGCCACCTCTGGCGTGCTGGCTCAAGCACTGTATTAATTATAAAGCTTGCAGGCTTCCGTCAGAGAACACCTAATGACATAAATGCCCAGAGTTTGAAAGGGATTGTAATCAGGCTACCCAAAATGTCCGTAAATGTGTATACTGTAGAAAAAAAAATATGGGGTTAATATTAAGGAGTGAGGAAGATGCATTTAACTTACAAGTAGGAAGACAGCTGAATGAAAGGAAGGTTAAATAGGACACAATCAGAGAGAGGAACCTTGAATGAGTGACACTGTCCCCAGCCCCTAGGTCACCTGTATGAGCAGCATGATGACAGTGAGCGTCCTCTCATGCAGGGGGCCCAGCACCTTGATCACCAGGTTGATGAGAGTCATGTTGTTACACTCAATGAACTCGTCCTCCCCATCCCCACCTCTTTGCACCTCCACCAGCCACACCACCTCCGCTCCCTGCAGGACAGAAAAGGGAAACTGCTGGAGACTAGGAAACAAGGTACACGCTACAGAAGGTCTGGAGAACTGCTAGGCCTTGGGGGGCCCTCGTGAAACGATGGGCCCTCAGTCCCCAGGGCTAACGAGTGTCCGCACATGATCTCCCTGCTTCATGAATGCTTTTGCGGCACTTCCCCAAAATACCCTTATTAAAATCCATCGTTTTCAATTTTATGCGGTCCTCATTAAGAAACCGCTCCTTTGCTTCCGACTAGAAAAGCTCTTAATTGGCAATTAATTTATGGTGAAGAGACGCAGTTGGGTACGCTTGTGTGTGGTTCATAATGAGCGGTTTTTCCTCCTGCCGAAGTGGATTCAGTTATGTTTCAGCT